GTGTAACAGCCCTGGCTGTCCTGGAACTCACTTTGCAGACCAGGCTGGCCTTGAACTCACAGAGATCCACCTGCCTCTACCTCCCAAGTGCTGGGATTACAGCCGTACGCCACCACACCTGGCACTTTTTAATTTTCATTTGCCCATTATGGCTGTTTTGTTTCTTATCCTTATTCTACTACAGTGATAGGTAGGAATGTTGTGGGGTCTGAGAGTCCGAAACCACCCAGATAGGCACAAGAGTCCACACAAATTGAGATCTTTATTGAATTGGGCAGCAAAAACTGACCAGTCAGAAACAATACAGACTTGGGAGATGACTGCACCCCCGGAACACTCATTTTAGCAAGTACTTAAGCAGAAAAACCACCTATACCAAGTTAACAGGTACATTTTCTATCAATCAGGATCCAGAGATAGTGGGCATTCCTTGGGACATTGTTCTTTGATGTACTTACCTTGTTGTCCGTAGTTGGTCCACTCAAGTGTGGTGGGGCAGCTTGCCAGCCAGGGTGTCAGGTACCCAGAGAGGCCTGCAAGGCCTGCAGAGAGCTTGGTGATCCTTATTCAAAATGGAAATTCTATCCCAAATGGTTTCAGTTTGGTTCCTTCTTACAGATGTGGGGTACAATGTTGAAAAGTACTAATGGTGACCATGGGCTGTCTCAAAGAAAATGCATCTATTCATGGTTGTGATGTGTGCATATGAACACACAGATACTCATACCCATGAGGCAGCTGTAGGAGTCTTCTCTGTGGTCTTCTGCCTTACTGCCTAGGACAGGAACTGAACCTCTGACTAAGCTGTGTCTCCACCCTCAGTACTGGGTTAGGAAGATGTTTTAACATTTGCTGCTGGTAAATGTTGCAAGTCACCTGTGCTGATTGAGGAAGTCCTCCCTACCGTAGGTACTGGTACTCTGTTGTGAATAGTTTTTGAGTTTTACTGCTTTCTGAGTATGTACCTGACTGTTCTTTCTAAAATACTAAACTGACCTTTACTTCTTAGTATAAATTGAACTTAGTCATGGTATGTGTGTTTTCATACATTGATGGACTCCATTTGCCACTTTTCTTTTTTAAAACAGTCAACCACACTTCAGTGGAAGGCTCTACATCCAGGAGTGGTTTTTTTTTTTTTTTGGGGGGGGGATATAGGGTTTCTCTGTGTAATTTTGGAGCCTATCCTGGCACTCATTCTGTAGACCAGGCTGGCCTCAAACTCACAGAGATTCACCTGCCTCTGCCTCCTGAGTGCTGGGATTAAAGGTGTGCACCATCAACGCCTGTTCTTAGATATGTGTGTGTGTGTGTGTGTTTTAAAGGCCACAAAGTTGGGTGTGTGTGGAGTGGAGGTAGAGCTGGGAAAGCTAGTGAATAGTGATAAAAGTGGAAGCGGGGCATGGTGGTGCCCGACTTTAATGCCAGCACTAGGATACAGAGGCAGGCAGATCTGTTTGAGGCCAGCCTGGTCTATATGACATCCAGGGCCACATAGAGAAACCCTGTCTCCAAAGAAACAACAAAAAGACCAAATTAACCCCCTACCCCCAACAAAATTGAAAACACATTATACAAGATTCTCAATTTATAAAAAATGAAGGGGGAAATATTTTCTTACCACTGGGTTTTGTAACTGTGATTTCAGAAGCCAGTGAGAATATATATTTCAGTCTGAGCCTGGGTTTAGTGTTACTGGGTCTACTGATCTGTTTGTCTGCCTTTGTGCTGTAGCACATAGTCTTCACCATACATAACAGCTTCACAGTAGGAAACCAGCCTCAGCCTTTCCAGAGAGAATTCTTATAGATGCCAGTGTCATCATGTCCCACAGTTGTACCCTTGTGTTTTCTTTTTTGATAGAGTGTAACCTAGCTAGCCTGGAACTTCCTGTGTAAAACAGACTGGCTGTGAACTCAGATTGCATGCCTCTGCCTCCCAAGCTCTGGAATTAAAGGTGTGCACCACCACACCTGGCTTGTATTTTCTCTTGATCAACCCTTTCAACCGTATATATATAACCCTGTAGTTATTTTTTTAGAATGTATTTCCAAGTATCAGTAAGCTATAGCCTTGATTTGCTTTTCTCTAGTGGTACCAGAGAAAGGCCGACTTATCTTTTCTGAGCAGCTCTGTTTCACACATGTCCTGTACACTAGAAAACAGTGTGCCCTATCTATCCATGTGGGTCCAGAAGGTCTCCAGAACCTCAAACTGCTACAACATCCTGTGTTGACTTCTTTACTGAAATCTCAAAGTCTCACATCTATTTAAATTACCAGTATTTGCTTTCTTTGGCTTTATTACTGTGTGGAGGGGAAAGAGGGGTGTGTGTGTGTGTACATTAACAGGTACATACATGCTGGGGTGCATGTGTAGAGTGTTCAAATCAGACCATCAGGCTTACGTGGCTGTGTGTGTGTGTGTGTGTAGAAGCCTGGGAAACACCTGTAAGTTAGCATTTGCAGTTTGGGGGAACCCTGCTTAATATTAGGTGAGAAATTGGCCAGGGCCCGTCTTTACCTCCCCAGTACTGGAACCTTTCCTGTTTTACAGGATTCCTGTTAACTGAACTGGTCCTCGTGCATGAGTGGCAAGCATGGAACCACCAAACCCTCTCCAGCCCCAAGCAATCATTCTCCAAGTTATTTTTGCCAAAGTAAGGAGAACTGGAATGCCTTTAAGTGGCCCAGATATTCCTTTGCATGCTGTCATTTGTTGATGTTTTCCAAAGTGTTGTTTGCATTTTAAATTGGGGGAGATTGGATGTGTGTGAGTACAGGTATACAGGTGATTGTGAGCCACCAATGTGCGTGCTGGGAACTAAACTTGAGTCCTCTTTCAGAACAGTAATTACTTCTAACCACTGAGCCTCTCTCCAGCCCCTAGTATTTTTGTTTGAGCAAGCATCTTACTATTGCCAAGCTATCTTTCTGCTTCTGCTTTATAAGTGCTGGGCCCTTTGGCAGCATGCTGCCATGCTCAAGTCACTTTGGTTTCTTAAAAACCCAGCAATGAGGACTATTCCTATGTGAAAGAGACTCTTTGGCATATAATATAGATACTGCTTATGACTTGTCCTTGCCTAGAAACTTATTTTATTACGTGTGTGTGTGTGTGTGTGTGTGTGTGTGTGTGTGTGTGTGTGTGTGTGAGAGAGAGAGAGAGAGAGAGAGAGAGAGAGAGACAGACAGACAGACAGACAGACAGACAGACAGAATGTGAGTGGAGTCAGAAAAGTAATCTGCAGAAACCTACCCTCTTCCCTCATTGAGTGGGTCAGTCCCCAGCCTTGGTGGCAAGCACCTGTACCTGCTGAGTCACTCATCTTACTGGCCCCAAGAAACTTGTTTCAATTGACTGTTTAGTTTCAAGATTCAGAACTACCTTCATTCATAGAATCTCAGATTAAGTACAGAAAGCGAGGGCAAAAGTAAGACACAAACTCACTACTGCCAGCCAGGAGTACCCGAAAAAGAGGCAAAAAGATGATGCCATCATTTGGTCTGTTGTTGTAGCAGAATGAGGAATGTATACTAATGCATGACGTGCCCTGTTTCTATGAACAGTTCATCCAGTGTGCAGTGCAGAAAGAAGCCAGAGCCAAACTTTAGGCACGTCTTTGTCTTCACAAGCAATAACCACAAGTCGGAGAAATAACACAATACAGTGTCATCTGCAGTTGTGATTCTAAAGACTCTTACAGACCCTCAAATGGGAGGGCTCGGAGGTGGCCTTGAGACGCCGTTATTCTTGATTCCACTTTCTGAAGTACTAGGATGAGTCATGTTACCACAACATCCAAAAACACTCTGAAAGAACTAGGGTTTAGCCTGATATCACTGGAGTGACTGAAGGTATATTTTGTCATATAACGTCATAGTCCCATAACTTTCTACAAGAGAACTATACATCTGCATCTCACAAATTAGGTATTTTTAAAAATAACACATATTGATTGTGCGCATAGAGACAGCATGCACATGTGTGTCACAGCACATGTGTGAGGGTCAGAAGACCTCCTGGAGGGGTCCTGAGGCCTGAACTCAGGTCAGTCTTGGCAGCAAGTGCCCTTATCCACTCCTAGCCTTTTGTTTCTTTTGTCTACCTCACTGCTCCACTATAGAAATTTGAGGTGGACCCTCCTAAGTATTTATAATTAGAGTATCAAAAGTAACTGGATTCCTTTAGCTCACCAAGGCAATAAGGTATGTTTTCAAGAAAGGAAAATACTACATACATATTATACGGGAGGAGAGAAGTAAGTGCAAATAGCTTCTACACCACTGTACCAAATACCAAATCAGAACAGTTTAAGTCCCTTATGACACCAGTAACTTAAGTCACAATCAAAAAAAAAAAAAAAAAAAAAAAAAAAAAAAAAAAAAAAAAACACGAGCGTTTACAAATAAAATTATTTTAGGCTAACAAACGCTTAAGGAATGGTAGCGGATGTAAGCTAGGATGAATATGACACTAACATTGTGATGGACATGTATTGGGCACACACAGAATGCCTGTTCTCTTCCCTGCATGAACACAGAGGCGGTATGACCCAGAGTCGACCTGCTTTTGCTCCAAAAAGTATTCCTCACAATCAGGTTCAAAATCTGGTTTTGATGTATGCTTTAAATTTAAAAATGGTCAGTAATTTCTTTTTTATCTTTATTCTTAACCTCTAGGGAGTTATTGAGATGGTCTGATGCCCAAGGTCTCACACTGTATCATTGAGGTAGGACACATTCTAAAAGTGAACCCACACACAAGGAGCAAAACCTTCCCACTTTGTGTATCTGGCAATCCAGCAGTTCTACTTCTAGGAATTTATTTCAAGAAAAGTTACGATATACACAAGATTCAGTGAAGGGCTATTTATAACTATAAAGAGATGAAAATAAGTCAAAAATTCTAATAGTCAATTAAATAAAGATTCTTGATTCAGTAATACAACAGAATAAAAACCCAGTAAGAATGATGCAGAAGACCATGCACAACCCGGGGAGATGTTCACAATATATTGTTAAGTGAAAAAGCCGCTTACAAAACCGTGTGCACAACATGAGCCCATTTTTATAAAAATATACATATTTAGCAAAGTAAAAGGACAAATGAATTTATCAAAATATTAACATTGGTTATTTCAACACAGTAGGTGGCTGTTGATTTTGCTTAACCATCCTCTCCCTTTCTTTCCTGTGTGCATTTTCTACATAAAGATTATTATTGAAAAGGGGTAGGACAGGAGGGAGCTACTTAACCTCTGAATAGCCAGAGAACATACCCCAAGACTCCTGGCAGAGTGGCCATTACCATTCAGCTTGTAATTAGGAAACTGCTCCCCTTCGTCCCTTGGAGCCCCACAAATTCCCTTCTGGACAAACTGTACAATAAGCCATTTTTGGATAGAGCTAAACTACCACCACCACATACACAAAAATTCAAAGTAATTATTACCAAAAAGAATAGATGAGAAAAATAGAAATCTTTAGTTTAAAAAAGGAACCCGAACACACACTACTATACTGTACAAAGCTACAACATCTATTGTTAGTTTATTGCAGATAGCATGACAGCAAACCAAAGGCTCCCGTGTCCCATCATCCATCATCCCAGCGCTCACTGCTCCCCTGGTTGTTCACTGGTTGATTTAAAACGTCTGCAGAATTACACCCACTGTTTTAGTTCCCACAGCTTAACAGAAAATCTGACCCCTCAGTGAAAAAGGTAGTATGACATTATCAGTGGATTACACAATCCCTCTCCTTGACAAGGATACTATAGTACTTTAAGAATAGGACCACTTCAAGGATGCTAGGACTACACCGGGGGAAATGAATTCTAACACACATAATAGTAACTAAAGCTACCTGAACAGGAACGGACAGTGACGGGCACCAAGTTTATAGGCCAGACAATACTTGCTTCTGCATCCAACTTAATTATTCAATTACATTTAAAAAAATGACACTGCCTAAGCTATGACTGTTTTACCAAAAAATTAATTTCAATAAATAGAATAAATGCTAAAAATCTAGCTAGCTTATCATGCAAGATAGAATATAGCCAAGACAAATTTATAATAAAGGCAACTCTCATTCAAAATGAACTCTACCCTTACATTTTATTAAAAGGGCAAACATCATGAATTAACCCAGCTGCTTACTTGAATTACAAAATAACATGATTCAATATGAAAATAAGAAACTGTCTACAAATCTCTGACAGTAATAAATTGCAATATACAATGCATACAGGCGTCATACAGAGCAACAAACTCTCGTACAAAACAAAAATATTTTAATACCTTTAAAATCCAATTTTTTCTTTAAAATCATTCATGAAAAAGATTCTCAAGTCAGAATTAACACCTCAATTAGTCAAGCGTCAGGAAGCTACATTACAGCTACTTATTTTACACAGAGGAGTCTTCGCCCTCACTTCCTCCCAATGCCTGTTCCAGACTTGGTTGGAATCTCTCCAGAGCCCGGTTCCATCATTTCTTCAGATCACGAAAACTGAATTTGCTGGACACCAGAAATCTAGGATTGGAAAATGTAAATAAAGACCTTTTAAAAGTATAAAGGAACATGTCTATCCCAGACACCAAACAGGCAGCAGGAGGGGGCTGCTTCCGCACCAAGCTTGCAGCTGCCTTCCTCTGAGCCATGCATCTTCTATGCAGATACAAGCACCTGTGAAATGTTTTCATTGTTATGGGGTTCTGCTAGTAATACATATTTGGAGAAAACAATTTTATTACATCCTTAATAAGAAGTTGAAATTGTGGGTGTTTTTTTTTTTTAAAAAAAAAATCAGTGAATATAATCTGTTTTTGAAGCTGTTAGACATGCAGAGATACCTGTTGATAGGACGTCGTGTAAACCATAACATTTTGTTGTTGACCATCTGCAGTTATTAAGCCAGCCGGTAACTGGTTAGCTAAAGGAAGAGGAGAAGAAAAGATTAAAGAGGAAATAATCTTACTTTCTTGACCTTAACCTTAGATTTACATCATTAACGACCCATTGTAGTTCTCCCACATAGGCACAATATAATCCTATGTAAAATCATAAACTTCCTATTTTCTTTCCTCACATAGGGTGTGGCCAGAGCAACACAGGACTGAGTAATATGTGTCTCATAAGTGAAAAGTTTCTTGTGCTAACATTTAAGTCATAAAATTTTATAAATTACAATTTTCAATATATTCCTCTCAGAAATCTTCACTCTAAAGGAAAAGCTATGGAAATGATTAGTAATTATCATGGAAAGGTCGCAGTGTCTTCCCAGTTAACATCTCCATGGATCTTGGTGACACAAGGTCATTTAGAACAGGTCCCCTACAAAAGGCTCAGCACTGAGACTCAGCAGCCCACTCTCCAGCCACAGCTTATAGTGCTTACTGAATGCTTCTTCTGTGAGCTCCTCGCTTAGCCCATCTGTAGCCGAGACCGCTCCACCAATGCCCTTCTCTCCTTTCATGGCCTAGGGAATAAAGAAACCAAAACAAATGTTCACATCAAACTGTTTCTAATGAGAATGTGATGTCCAAAACTGGAAGCTTCAGTGAGAAAACTTCATAACGGTATTTTATTAACACTCCATGACATGTTTGTGTGTGGTGCCATCAGTGCACAGCCAGGTAGAAAATACTGGCAAGTTCCAAGCTTAGTGTTTAAAATCCACAAATACAAAATAGTTTGAACCAGAGACTCACCAACACCCCACCCCACCTCTGGCTCTCTGGGTCTGTGGTACTCTTAAGTACACCACAGAGTATTGTGGAAATATTTGGAGGAGTACTGTAGACTTACAGTTTTCCCACTTTAATCATTCCATTCAAAAAAAACACTAATTTCTAGGGACTTGAACACTAAAGATCTTTCACAGCAAGCAAGAGGACCTGAGTTCAGAGTCCCAACAACCCACTTAAAAGCTGGGTGTGGCACCCACCTGTAACCAGTGCTGGAGAGGCAGACAAAAGTGTCTCTCAGGCTTACTGGTCCACAAGCCCAGCCCAGTAATGGGCTTCTGACTCAGTAAGATGCTGTCTCAAAAATAAGGAGCATACAACAAGGGGATGGTCACAACATCCTCTAGTCCCCAGAGAAGCTCCACCCTGACCGATGGTTCCTAAGCTAATGCGGTAGCACTGTCCATCATTTGCTGAGTCCTCTCAATAATTCTGTAATGGAAGTGCTGTTAAGTCTCTTTACAGATGGGGACCCAAAGCCTCAACTATTTCAACATTCGAACCCCCCAGCACAAACCCAGAATCCTTTTGATCACTACTCACCTGCTGAAATTTAGTACACTAAGGAAACAAGTAAAGGATTGGTATTTAAAGTACTATAATACATCAAATGCTACTGGAAATGTTCCATCATTTGCTGCAAGGCATTTGATCTTAAGTGACGTAATTCTACACACCAAGCTGATGGCGATTGTCACTTTCCTCAGCACACTCACCTCTCTGAACTTCTGAAGGTACAATTTCAGAGGCTCCACGTAGCTGTCGAAGCCTAGAGTGGACATGGCGAAGAGAATGTCCTCTCCGTTGATGGTCTTCCGCTTCTCCTGATGACACCGTACCTCTCTGAACTTCTGAAGGTACAATTTCAGAGGCTCCACGTAGCTGTCGAAGCCTAGAGTGGACATGGCGAAGAGAATGTCCTCTCCGTTGATGGTCTTCCGCTTCTCCTGATGACACCGTTCACTTGCTTCAGACGTAATGAAGCTTATGAACTCACTCACACACTCCTGAACACATTCTTTGGCATCTTTTGCAATCTGAAGAAGAAAAAAGCCATAGGTCAATTTTTAGGAAATGTAACCATTACCGTCTTAACACCTGCGAAAACAAAAAGCTACACACAGCATACCACATTGTACTGACAGACACCTTTTCAACACCTCACCTATCCCAGGCTGGGTTCTCTATGTAACCAAGGATGACCTGAACCTTTGCTCTTCCTGCCTCCACCCCTCAAGTGATAAAAGCACACTAGGCAAGCACTCTACCAACTGAGCCACATTCCTAGCACTGATGATGGCTAAACTCTAGCCCCTTAAATATTAACATATGTTGGTAACAGCCAACTCAGAACAGAACAAACATGCACATAAAAGTGAGAGGGACTATTTAGAGCACACAGAACTAAGATGGTTAAGAGCCACCACTGTAGCTTACCATCCATACCAACCCAAGTATGCCTGCGCTGAGCATGCGAAGGGCTGAGACATGGAGCACTTCTCTCAGCATTTCCTAAGGACATAAAAAATAAACCCCCGCCCCAGTCAAAGAAACTGGACCAAAGTGTTGGCTCAGTGATTAAGTGTACTGGTTGCTCTTCCAAAGGACATAAAGTTCATTTATGTCCATTCCAAAGTTCAATTCCCAGCACCCACATGATGGCTCAAAACTGTAACTCCAGTTCCAGAGATCTGATTCCCTTTTCTGGCCACCTCAGGCACAAGGTGTAAATACAGACATATATTCACACAAAACACTAATACACACAAAATAAATAAAATGCTAAAAAAATGTTCAGGAAAAACAAAAACTGAATTCACAAAAGACTTAGGAGTAAGATACTGACGATTTTTTTCTTTTTTTTTTTTTCAACTACTGAGACTAGAAAATGTCAAGTGTGGGTCCTGAGTGTTGCCTAAAACAGCACCCCCCCCCCCATCATTATGAAGAATTCTCCTCTTCAAGTTGTGGGACTGCTGGGCATGGTAGAGAATGCTCTTAGTCCTTGAGAGGCAGAAGCAGGCAGAGGCCAACATGGTCTACACAACAAGTTCCAGACCAGCCAGAGCTATACAGTAAGATTCTGTCTCAATATATACATACAAACATACATAGATAAATAAAGGTCTGGGGTCTAATAATGAAAACGAAACAGATCAGTCAAGCAATTCAAGAGCCACTTATAACTGTAGCGACACTCAAATCCCTTCCTGAAAAATTACTATTATTGGGTCCTGACAAGATGGCTCAGTAGGTAAAGGTGCTTGTTGCCAAACCTGATGACTTAAGTTTGATCCCCAGGGCCCAAATGATGGAAGGAAAGAACTGAACACTGTAAGTTCAGTTATATAAGTTCTGTGGTATATGGTACTTATATGCAATCACACACATATCACTCGAGCACTCCCTCTAAATAAATATAAATACTGTCATTTACTAAATAATAAATTTACTAAATACTACCATATCCATTTTACATGGTAGAGAAAGTAAATGAGTCGCACAATGCACTGAATAAAAACAATGGGATGCAAGCCAAGTGTGTAACTTTGTCTTTCTTTCCATTTGAAGCCATGTTGACTATGTTATCTAGCACATATATACACATGTATCATCTTAGCAGAAACATGTAATCAATTTAATACAGGGTATCTCCCCTGTCACCCTCACACCAGGCCTCTGAAATCTGGTGGTTTAGTTACAGCACAGCTCCTTTTAGAGCAGCCACCTCTCAGCTGCTTGGTGGCCCAGATAGATGGCTGAGGTTTTGGTAAGAGACAGGGCAGAAAAAGCAAGTCTGGGACAATTCCTCTGCCCTAAAACATATGGAGGAATATCTCACATCAGTAAATTTGAGAACTTTGCTTTCAAAGGTTTATGAAAATAATGGAAAAGGCTAATATATATGCATATATATTATATATAAAGCAAGAAATTTACCTCAGATCAAGTGATAAGCTGAATGATGAGGGTTGTCTGTTTTAGGACACAAGGTCTCATTATGTAGCCAAGACTGGTGTGGAACTTGCTATGTAGCCCTTGAACTCTTGGCATTTCTCCTGCCTCAGCTCCCCAAATGCTGGAATTAAAAGCAAGTGCCACCATACCTGGCTGAAGAATGTTCTGTACAAGGAGTTGTTCTAAGACAAGCTACTGTGTGTCAGTTGAGATGCAGACAGCCTCCATTTGTATAAAAATGAAAACAGCTGTTTTGAAAATCTTATGCTACCTGCCAGTCCAAGGCCACCTAACATCACTGCATTCTAGATGGACGGGTGGGGAGGGGAGGAGTGAGGCCAGAACACTGCGGAGTAGCCAAGTAGTCACAACAAATATTTGATGTGCTGGAAGGCTGGGGACCAAATCAATAGCTAGCTACTGATTTAACTGTAGCCATGTGTCTTACAGTTTAGTTTCCATTCCCTCTCCCTCCCCCTGCAAAGAAAACCAAAGTATCCTCTACGTTACCTTTCCTGTTTGAGGTATGGCATTTTTCATTATCCTAGCCACATTTGCAATGGGAAGATAAATATCTTGTTCTCTGAAACTTTCTTTTGAACCATTTGTATCTTCATGATCATTCATGCTGTCCTCAGTATCTAAAGAAAGTTTTTTAAGAATTAGGTTTAGGGGCTAGAGAGATGGCTCAGCGGTTAAGAGCACTTACTGCTCTTGCAGAGGACCCGGGTTCGGTTCCCAGCACCCACATCAGGCAGCTCACAACCGCCTGTAACTCCAGTTCCAAGGGATCCGATGCCCTCTGCCTCCACAGGCAACTGCACACACAGTGCACATAAACTCACCCAGGCACATACACATAAGTAAAAATAATAACCTTTAATTCATCCTTGAAAAGATTAGCTAAATTGGTTGTGTAAATCAAGAGCCATGTGGCTCATCACCCAATACTCCTAAGATCATGATAACAGTTTTTTCCACATGTCCTCAGGGTTAGAACTGACCCGTTCATCTCAAACCCAGTGTCTAGGGTTCTTTTGTCTCTGCTATCATGTAAAACCCCACCACCCATTCTTTCAAAGGCTCTACTAAGATCCAAAGTGCTCTCCCCTTGCATGCACTACCTTGTTTCTCTCAATTTTATAATGCTTCTCACATCTCATTTTCCTTATCAAGATTATTTCCTGATGCCAGACATGAGCTTTGTGTCCCCAGAACTTGGTTCTACAGAGCCGATGCTTACCACTGGGTTTTTTGTTTGTTTTTTGTTTTGTAACTCAGTGCAGGAGTGCTTGACTGTCATCATGAGGTCTCATGCTCAACCCCCACCAGTGGCAGAGCCAACACTCATTCAGTGCCTAACTTAGCTATAAAACTCAATTTGCAACCTATGCCCCTTAAATATTAATGGACTAAGTTTATGTTTATCCACAGCCAATTTTATATAAGCCTGTATATGTAAAGTTTACAAAGTATAAAACTCATAGCTAGCATTTACATAAACTTGTTCATATAAATTACATTAAATTCTAGAGACTTGAAAAATTAGACTTGAATATTACTGATGCAACTGGATAATAATATAGTATCTAGGAATGCTAATCCCTTCATAGCTCCTAAAAGATACATGTTAATGTTTAATTTTACAAATTAAAATGCCACAAAAGCAAATGATTTCTGGTAGATTAATGTAAGAATTCCTCTTATTACTGTTTAAGAGGGAGTCAGTGATAAGTTTTGAAAATTTTTAGAGCACCCTTTTATAGAGAACTCTTTCTAGGCCTTACCCCTCTTCCAAAGAGCGTTTCTAATAAAGACAGGGGAGTGTATCTTCTACAATGTCTTGGCTTTGGAATACTTGGACTGGACCAAGGGCCTTAGGGATACAACCGGAGGACAGAGCACTGGGCTCTATCCAGCTGATACTTCTGTCTCTCCTTCCCTTCCTCTGTCTTGCCCACTTCCGTTTTGAAAAAGGGTTTCTCTATGTAGTCCTGGCTGTCCTAGACCTCTCTATGTAGACCAGGATAGCGTCAAACTCACAGAGACCTGCCTACCTCTGCCTCCTGAGTGCTGGGGTTAAAGCTGTGCACTACCACACTTGGCCTTAACTTTTTGAGACAGGGGTTCATAAAGTTGACTAGGCTGGTCCTAAAATTTGTAGACCCCTGCCTCAGCATCCCAAATTGGTGGGATTATAGGTTGTGTCCCTAGACCAGGCTCTCACTAGATTTCCAGGGAACCAAGGCATGCAACAGTTCACTCTGCTGTCAAGATGCTGGTGACATCTGTTCTAGCTATGCATCTTACCATCATGAGGCTGGATAACATAATGACTTCCTCCAATGTAGTCTGCGGAAATCCCTAGTTGAGAAGCGTCGGTTGTGGAACTGTCGCCATCCATCTATGGAGACAAAGTCTTTAGTGAGCTTCAGAAAACAAGGCTCAGCACAAGGCTTGCTGGGTGGACCAATTCTATCTTTCAGTTCACCCAGTTCTTGTCTAGGAAATTTTTCAATAATTTGCTAACTATTCAACATTCCTGTCCATCTTCCATGTCTTAAGTGTAAAATCAATACAGGAACAAAACAACAAAATGAACCTAAACTACAACCTTAACTTACCATACACTTCTTCCTTGGAACACCAAATCGAGCGAGCATAGCAGTCCCTCAGGGAAGTTCACGGTGCTGTCCCTCCTAGCTGTCCTTCCAGGCCTAAGGACCAGCCACCCTTTTGTTCCTGCTGCACACTTCTTCCCTTTGCTGCCTCTATGCCATCTAAAAGCACAGCCACTATTTTTCCAGCAGGGTCTTGTCACACAGCCAGACTGAACATGCAGTCCTCCCACCTTGACCTTCTAAAAGCTGGGATTACGGGCACACACCACCATGCCAAGCTTCAAATCAGGTTTTGAATGAGCCCATCAACATCATATAGAGTCTAATACAAGTATTTTTTCTTCCTCTAGCTCCTCAAACCTTTTGAGTCTTTAAGCAAAAGAAAATATCTAAAAGACCTGAATATAGAGATAGGAAAAGTACAACCACAGACCAGAATAAGTCTCACAGTGACTATGTGTGTCTGTGGAGGTCTGAGGTCAACCCCAGTAGTCATTCCTCAGGGGCCAGACACATTGCTTCATGGATAGTAGCTCACTGGCCTAGAACTAGCCAACTGGGCTTGGGTGTCTGGTCACTGAACCCCAAGGATCTTCCTGTTTCCAACACACATGCACTCACACACGCAAGCATGCTGTTCTGGAGACTGAACTTAGGTTCTCATGCAGTCAATACTGAATCAACAACCTATTTCCTCAGTCCCAACCCTTTCCAGTCTGCTTAGGGAACAAGGTCTGTATGAGGAAAAACCTAGTGGGAAAGTAAACTATTAGCCCTGAACAGATTCCATTTCATTTCTTTTTTTAAAGTAATTTATTCTATTTTTATTTTATGTGCATTGGTATTTTTGCCTACATGCATATCTGTGTTAAGGTGCCAGATCCCCTAGAACTGGAGTTACAGACAGTTGTGTGCTGCATGTGGGTGTTAGAAAGTGAACCAGGGTCCTCTGGAAGACCCCCATTTCATTTCACTGCCAGCAGATTCAGAAAGAGTTCTGCTTTGCAAATACTGAACACGGAAGGTCTAGCCTGTGTGTATGGGGAATTTAAGGTTGCATTATCCACATGACAAGTACAGCAGAGTGAGTCTAACTGGCATACCAAGCTAAAGCCTAGAAGTTAGCCCTGACTGCAGCACTTACTCCTCACAGAGATATTCTCCATCTCTGTGGGTTTTCTCTAATCTAACGCACCAGGCTAGCTTCCAAGTTTTTAACATGGCACGTCTCCCATGCTTCGGTTGGCTTTGATATCTAATTCAATTGTAGACAGAGACATATTTCTGTAATTTACAATTGCTTTAGGGAGCCTTTGTCTATGGAGATGTAGGGGTCCTACTCATTCACCAACCTCCCACTCATTTCAAGATACATGGAACAATACTGCTCTCCCTATCTTATATTAACACACACGTCAACCATCACCCATCACCCCAATAGAAAATGCTACTTCTTTGACTATAAATGCCTTTCAAGGCTATGATGTTGGTTGGACCTATTGGGCATGGAGTGATGGTCAACCAGAACAGCTGAGAGTCCACTGTTTTAAAGGAAACAGGACTAAAAGATTTGGTTCAGAACCCAGAATTGGAAATAAATCTGGACTGGTGAGGTCTGGTAACAGAAATTCTTGGCTAAGTGAATGTTTACTACTCTTAAAGTCCTCAAGCAAGAGACTAGCTGGACTGATCTGGAGATGGATTAATTAATAAATACAACAAAGATAATAGAGCAAAAGGCCCAACTCCTATCATCTCACTGCACACTAGAATCAGTGGTTCTATGTGAACTGCCTGCAGCAGTCCTCTAAAGAGGCAGATGACACTATTCCCCAGCTGTCAGAATTAGCATGACAGAGCTGTCAAGACTTGGCGTGCAGTTCTTGCAGCCACTGGCTTGCCTCGTCCTCTTCTCAAGCCCCCGTCTTCTACTTAGCTGTACGGTTCTTTGTTCTGTGAGTTTCAGCCTTTCTGTCACTTCACACCTTCTGTTCCTCACTTCTCTTTCTGCCATTAAAACTCCACCCCAGATTTTAATACCAAAATTCCCTTTCCTGCTGGAATTTCTTGATTTATCTTGTTCTGGAATCTCAAACCATCTAACATTCACTTGTCTGAAGTCATTCCTCAGATAACCAGCCTAAGCTCCAGGTCTTACCCTATGCTAGCTACCCACTATATGCAAGGAACAGTGGGGAAAACTTGTTATATAATCAAAAGGTTTGTTTTTCTATGAAATTTGTATGAAAGAGAATGTAGACGAAAGCCAGCCAACACACATTTCACTGGGTGACATTCAGTGTTTACTGGTTCATGGTATCTGGCCACATAACAGCAAATAACAGATAAGGGCTCTGTCCTCATCCTGCAGAGAAAACAAATGTTATGTAATCTAGGGGCAGGGTGAGGGAGTAGAGAGCAATCAGGGGCTCTTTGAGGCCACTGGCTCTGGAATTACCTAGTTTAAATTTCCTGCTACTTACTGGTGAGTCCTTGAGTAACTGAGGATGGGTCAAGGACTTCTGCTTCTGTGTGGACCAGGAGACCTGATTTTCTGAACACAATATAATGGGAATTCTCCATGCTGTTATACATTGAGCCTTAATTGTTAGACATTTATATAAATAACAACAATCTATCAGCCAACTGCTAATACTGCCAAGTGATAAGAAAAACAAAGAGGTTTTGCTAGTGTCCTTATTTCAAAAGGGCTTCATTAGTCTGAGGAGGGCAAGAACAGCTCCATTTTTTAGGAGATGGCATTTAGCTGGCAGTGATGGCACACACCTTTAATCCCAGCACGCTGGAGGCAGAGGCAGACAGATCTCTGAGTTTGAGACCAACGTGAGTTCCAGGACTCCTGGGACTATACAGAAAAATGTCTTGAAAAACAAACAAACAAAAAATGACAACAAAAGGAGGTGGCATTTTTAGACTGAGACTGAAAGATTGGAGGCCAAAGGGGGTGGGGCTGGGGGAGCACAGACATGCTTCAGAGACGAAACAGAGAAACTCAGGACTGGGGGACAAGCTAAGCAGTTATCTTGTGGACAAGAACCTGGGGGGGGGGGCGGGGAGGGGGAGTATGAGCCAGTAAAGAAAATGGGCTGGAGGGAGCAAGACTAGACCCAGAAGATAGAAGGGTCTGTAACCCCACTGTTATGGCAGGAAGTGCGGTAAGATGATCCCCCAGCGTCTGTTAAAGGACCAGAGCCCTGCACATCCACAGGACAGTGACTACACAGCCCTTCAGAAACTAAATGGGACCTCTGCCTGGCTGCAAAGAACTCTTTGAGTGATGCTGAGATGCCAACTGGGGAGACACATGGCTGTAGATACAGAGAACAGGAAAGGATGGGAACAATATGGAAAGGACAGGAACTTGAGGTTGAGGCAACAAGGGGCTTAACTGGCTGTGACTGAATTTGCACATGTCCAGCTGGGACACCTTCTAGGCCTGGGAACTGAGATTCAGAGATCATCTTATTACATTATGTTCAATGACTATGTTATGTAGATGAACTGATTATGATGTTCTTCAAAGTTCATGTGATAATGCATTTCTATTCTGATTTTAAGGTAGCAATATTTAAACCATACTAATCACCTGCTAATACAGTAAACGCACTATAAACAGAGTCCTAATACGTTTACTTATCTAGCACTTCTAAATCCCATATGAGAGGTTCTTGGCGCTATGTAGCAGCTTAAGAAACTCAAGTGATAGGCCAGCGAGATGGCTCAGCAGGCACACAGGCTCACCTCCATGCTTAACTACCTGAGCTTGATCCCTTGAATCTACAGGGAAAGGAGAGAACCCAGTTCCACAAATGATCCCAACCTCCACATCATGCCATGGTGTCAACATTCACCCCATCACCCCCAACACACAGGCACGCATAGGCACACACACTAAATGAGTTTTAAAAAAGCAAAGAGGCAGATGAGGGTGCAAACTTGCCTGAGGTGATATACTCGACCCTCCATATTCCTTACGAAACACACTCCTGGTAGCCTTCCCTCCAGTGCTCAGGCCTGATTTTCCATGCACCCCCTTAATTCTCAATCTACTGGTTAGATACTGAAAGCACTGAAGCTGCTCTGAAAACCAGAGTAACGTTTATAAAGTGGTCAAAAATGTGTTCTGGAGTTTGGGATGAGTGTGGTCTGGGTTGGAGACACAGCTCCCACTAACTGTAAGTGTGTGTCAACAGGTCACTTTCCGTCCCATATGGGTTGCTGTAACAAGTTCCTGTGCAATGTCCTAGCAAAAGCACGGGACTTCTGAAGAGCACACAGGCCTCTTATAGTGACCGTCTTTTCAAACACTGGTTCTTTCCAGGTACAAAGAGCTTTCGTCATACATACCTGACTTCTGACCTGCTCTTTATCTTTTCTGCAGGGTGAGAAACAGTATCAGGGTTCCTCATCTCTACTCTATTTTCAGCCCTGCCTGCCTGCCTGCCTCCTCCTCATGCTCCCTTAAACACGCGTCATGTCATCACCCACAGCAGCGCCCTCGTGGCTGTGGGACACCCTCACTTTCCCTACGCCTCGTCTAGCTCTCACTATCACATCATCACAGGGTCCTTACACAACTCTTCATTCTAAAGCCAATAGAAAGTCTGTGAGAAGCTGCCTTTTCAGGTCGTCCTCCATCCTACTCAACAGACCACTGCAGAACTGACACCACTGCCCCACTCCCTCCTGAGACTTCCAAAGCAATACTCTCACTCTCCCCTAATTGTTAGCTTCAATCCAAGGTTACTGTCTGCTCTTTCTTCCTCTACTCATCTAATGAACTCATTAAATACTACCTCCACTCTCATAAATACAAATTTACAATCACCGTTCTGCCTGCCACATAAGCAACCATCAATGAACACTGGAGTGTAATTCATCCCCCTATCCCAGCAACTCTGGGATCAGCCTGTCCAGGGGTCTAGGTTAAGTGGCCAGCATTGTCTTCAGGTTTCCACCTGGATCTGCCCCTCCTTTTCTATCCCACTCAATCACCACCCAGCCCAGCTTAGCCTAGCACACTGTGGAGACTAACTCACGAAAACTGCATCCACAAGCTCTCTTGCATCAAATCCAAACATCTTCTTCAGAGCTTTACAAGAAGGTTCCCTTCTTAACCTAAGAAAACTCTTAGCACTAGAACATGCCTGGGGGACCACCAAAAGCAGAGTGAAGCAATCATGACTCAGAGGAACTGTACCCTGCCTGAGGTCACAGATACTGTAGCAGAGCCAGATCAAATATGCAGACCAGTCAGGTGGGAGCTCGTCAAGGGCCATCCTGTGAAATCCCCATCTGAAACAAGTACCTATCTCCACCTCCAAGCCCCCAAGTTGACTCACTGGGGCTTCTGGGCTTTTGTTCTGGGTGAGACCCTTTACCTGGCCAAATCCCACCTATCTGTTTACCCCATTCGGCCCGGGAGAACCCCTCCTGACACTCCCAGGTCAACCACATCCCTCTTCTTTAGCCCTGTCCATTTGGCATATAACCCCTCCAGCTGAACAGACAGTCCATAAACAGGAGGGCAAGCTCCTTAGCAGCTGGTCTCAGCAGTGCTGAGGGGCCGTACAAACCAGTGAGCATGTGCCACTGGCTGACCAGAGAGGTGAAGTGGATGTACACAGGTACTGTCTGTCTAGGCTTGAAAGATTCACTATACAGCCCTCTCCAATATATCAGCTCTCCTTTCATTTCATATGGAACTAACAATGGTTAAGACATACTTACTGTCATGAAACACTGTCAGAACTGTGTACTAGTGGTGCTCTCAAACACCTGTCAAAAGGTGTTGGATCCTTGCCCAATTTTAACCTAAAAGAGAAAGATCTCTTAATAGAAGTGTACAGTCTCCAGGTTTTCTTAAAATTAGACACACAGGTCATCTTACCTCCTGTACTTAATCAATGGAGAGTCTACAGGGGAGAGTGGAAATGGCTGTGTAGTGTAACCTTGAATTTGTTTTAATAGTAAATATTCATATTACTCCAAATAAGGAACCAAATTATATATTATGCAAGACAGTGAAAACTCACATATCTAAATCTCATAAAATATTAACACTAAGGCCAAAAATACACCACTTATTAACTTCAGTGTTTGAAGATGGTTTCCTTAAATGTTTCAGAAATGCATAAATTTTTTAACTCAAAAAGGAGAAAAAATTTATGTCAGACTATAATACATTTAAATTACCGTATGTTATGCTGGAAAGACACACACTGCCTAGAGGGCACATCAAAACACACAAAAGCCCCACAGGGCCCTTATTCATAATTTTGGAGTACCATCATTGTGAACTAAAATTGCATCAAATAGCACTTCAGTCTCACTGTAAGGCAAAAATAACAGTAAATCAGAAGCAATGGCAACATCAGCACCTTCCTATTTGCTGTTTCCCTTTTCTTTCAAAGCAAACAAAAGTGGGATGCAAAACAAAAATCCTTCCAGTGTTAATTTTTAAGGAAGAATTTCCACTGAAACATGAAAGTAGCAAATAGCAGGGGGATACTGTGGCTGAATTGAATTTTTAAAATGGTATTAAAGGAACCAGACAGCAAAGACTGCCTGACATTGTTATAATCTTAAAAGTAATCTGTATCATCTTTCCATATTATGTCCCTTTTGTAGATCCAAAACTGCTCTGGTAGCTTTGAAATGTGCCTGAACACTTACACACATAAGTTGGATATGTGTATGTATACCGCTTAGAATGGCTGTGGGGTGAGAACCCTTACCACACTAGTAACCCAAACAGTTGGCTAAGTATACATTTAGGTGTAGTCCATTAAGAATAAAACCACTCTATCACTTCATATAGAAAACATTTTCCTAAGGGCAGGTTATAATCTGTGTAATAGCTCAAGGGAATGCATACATCTGCTTAATGTTTGAAGAAATGCAAATTTGTATCCAAGAAAAGCAGTATTCCCTTCCTCCAACCTCCATTCTTTGGCATCGGCAACCACTGTTTTGCATCGATAGAATCCTTAAATTAAACTACAAGAGCAGAGGAGGAATTTGACTTTTAAAGGAATTCTGTAAAAACTCAATGCATAAAGCTCGTATCTATTTATTAGTGCCACTATCACCGACGAGTTGAGCCATCACTTTTCGGCTGCCAATTAGTTACCTTACTGAGAGCTGAAGCCACCCCGGGTGATTTGTGGCACGATCCACAAAACTAGGGTCTGTGAGGATTAGCGGGATGCCATTTTTTTTTTTAAAGGTCGCCTGCGACCTAACATTGCCTAAACCAAACCAAACGGTCTTCTTGTAGCACTTTGGGCATGAAATCCATCTGTGGGTGCTCAGTAATTCTTTGTTCTCG